CAATGCCCTCTGTAGTCATAGTCGTTACCACTGTGGGGATATTCGGGTTCGCGACTGACCTCCTGTAGGGTTATATTAGATATTTTTTATTGGACACTAGTCCTATTGCCTCCAACAATCTAATATCAACAATTCAAAGTGCACCATGATGGCGAGCCACCCCTAGTGGTGAGGTGGCCATATTGCACACTTGACTGATAGAATTCAGTGTCTGCACCAAACAAAGGACTAGACACATTACACTACTAGTTACTAAGTAGTGTCCAATCAAATAAAGATCAAAAGTTGGTATGCGTGAGATCAAATGAATGATGTAATATGGCGAGTACAACCCAGAAGGTCAGGAGGAATATTATCTCTTATGGACGTTCAACTTGAAGAAATAGAGGGGGACAGTTGAAAAGATAAATTAATGAAATTAGAAAATAAACTTATTAGGGGATGAGACACCAGGGTAATTTATTCTAGTAACAAGATATACATATATATATATAATATACACTGTAATGCTTCAGCTACCTTTTAACCCTTATTTTTTATTTCATTATGACACTCACGAAAATATTCCTGTTGATAGACGAAAGTATGTTAAAATTGTACACTGACTTAATTTATTAGATTACAGGTTGTACGCAGCTGATGAGAACCAACGAAATCAGATAGTTCCATATTATTCTGCACCCATATTTTTTCTTTCTCTGCTCAAATTTGGAAATGAGAATTGTTGTATGCAGTTGGAATTTATTGGCCATTGGATCTCTTCTCAATGGCTAATTAGTGTACGTGGGGGTTGTCCTGGCTACCAGAAGGTCCTCGTTTTCAACCTTTATCTTCCAATGGTTCTCTAACTGACGTCAACTTGTGGTCAAACCAGTAGTCAATCAAATCATTGTAAACCAAAGCTCACATGTACTAGTCTGTTATATCACGTTGAAAGGGCATTGAAAATAATCCTTAATAGTGTGTGACACTGGGTAGTTGAGATAAACGGCGATAGTAGCTTATACTTATAGTTAAGGAGGTTATTGTGTTGTGTCCTTAGTGAAGTGCTGCACTGCCGCTTAGAGGTAGGTCAGTTCTAGGTGAATTCCTGCTTGCATGTGAATTCTAGACGCATTCATGTGTAATTATTGCATTATCTGACATCAAATGTAAATGTATGTATTCACATTCCCAGATTAGTAAACTTTTAATGGGATTCGAATATATACTACTGACTGATTGATATGAGTAGTTGAAAGTCAATTACGCAAATTTGGTAGCCCATGTTAGCTATATCGAACTGATATAATCACCATGTCTCTCGTTTTTAGGCCAGTGTTTATCTACAGTGTAACCGGTTTGAATCGAATTGGAGAGCTGAGTGAATTCAAGCTACCCGGATTCCGGGTCATATGAAAAAGAGAAGACGTTCAGCGAAGAGAGTCTTTTCGACGGCGAATTCATTCACATAGCTGTGCAATCGTATTTATATATAATTATTTTTTTTTTGTGTGTGTAAATGGGTTTTGTCGAGTTTAGATAATTAATTAGGTAATGCAAGAATGATCTAATATAGAAACAAGGTTAACTAGACAGCAACTAAAGTAAGATTGAGTTAGTTAATAAGTTAGATGACGTAATTTAATTGACTAAAATGTTTCAAATTAGGTCAGGGTAGCAACAGAGGTAATTGCAGGTAGAGACTAAGTAGATGTGGGATAGAGAATAATGTCATTTAAACTAGGACTAAAATTGAGCAAAAAATTGGATGACGTAACATAAATGACTAGAAATTGAGCATTGGTCAAGTCAGTAATAATGGTAATGAGGTGTGGATTATAGGGCTTCAGTCTAGAGCTTTGAAGTTTCGGTAGCAATGGTGTTTATTTTTACGGGATAGGACTGTTGGCCTTATGCCAAACCTTCCCTCTTTACCAGTCTTTTATTTTGATTACAGCTTTATGTCACACCGTATTTTAGGTACAAGTATGGAATTTTCAGCATATGATATGGGTAGCCCAGATTTCGCAGGCCGACCATAGATATCGGGTGTGCGTCCGCAGCGGATCGAACCCCGTACCATTGACATGGTCGGCGAGGTTTAGGAGTGCGTCGGTGGCTGGAAATCGAACCCCGCACCATGTTAGGCGTGGTTGGCGAGCATTCGACCGGTGTACCAGCGACTCCCGAGGATTCCTTTAGTTGAGTTAAAGTGAGCTAACAACTCAAATGATCAAATGGTCATAAACTTTTTTTTGTATGGCTTTTATAGGGAATATAATTATTTCGTACTCAGTGATAGTTTGAACGTTAGGATTGGATTTCGCAAAAAAGAAATATATCTTATACTATGCGTTGCGTCTGAGATTTGCGACTCTTCTACGTAAAAATGAAAACAGACACGAGGTATATAAATTTTCAGATGATTTCACAGCGAACAGTAATAGGGAGTAAGTGAATAGCCCGACACTTATAGACGCAAGTATTTTAGGCTTTCAAAGGATCTGTATTACCCTGATTATCTAGTAGTCTGTATTCATTGATTTCAAACATCTGAAGGATTCTATCGATTTAGCCTATCTGGATTACATCAGTAGGCTGATTGGCTAACAATCTTTATCCTAGATTATTCTGAACTAACACCGCTCTTCTCCCAAGGCGGTTGTTAGTGGCGTAACACAGATCCCAGTGACTTTGTTTATTAATGAGGTATAACCATGGATTTACTTTTTACTACCTAGGACTATAAATGTATGATTAACAAAATCTCTTCCATCCTCATAATACAGCTTGTGTTCAGAGGTGGCTAATTATGGCATTATTCTCTTGAGTTTTTAGAGTGAAATGCAGATAGAAGACGGGTGTGTTATTGAGGTGGTAGGAATCAAAAAGAAACTTTAGACTATACTATATGAAAAATACTCGTAAAACTTTCAAGGTAGACGAAGTACGTAGAAGTTTTAACCTCCGTATATAAATAGTCTTAGTTTGTTAATTTAGAGAGGAAAAACACGGGTGACTAGTGGAATTGCTGAAACACCTGCAATCAAACTTCTCAAACTAAACTTATGCATAAAGAAAGAGAGTATAATTAATCTGTCCCTGCTTTGGTAACAACTGCATTTTGATTATATTGATTAGTTCAGCTCACTGAGCAAGTTTTCAATTTTATGAACTACAACCTTCTGAAGTTGCTATATGAACCTGACATTGTTCATTAGAAGTGATAACAGGAGTAAGATAAACTGGCGGCCTATTATCACTCACGATAATATTTCTAATTATGATGAACCGGATTATGCGTCAGACTATGGGGAATGAGGAGAAAGGAATTCTTTGGACTACTGGTAAGAAGACTAAAAGATATTTATTTTTTTAAAAATATTTTTGATTACAGCTTGATTCCACACTGTATTTTTGATACAAATATGGAATTTTGCAGCATGGATATCGGTAGCCCAAAATTTGCAGGCCAAGCATAGATATCTGGTGTGCGTCGGCAGGGGATCGAACTTTGGACAATGTGCATGGTCGGCGAGAGTTCTAACCACTGTGCCACCGACGCAGCTGACTTACACTTGGGCATCACACGATCTCGAAGACTTACAGGCGGAAACCAACAAACTGGCTGATGAAGCAGTGCAGCGAAGACAGGAGTGTTCAAGTAAAGATAGAGAAGACGGAGATGATGAAGATAATTAACCAGCACCAATCACAATCAACGGGAGAGATTTAACATGGGTCACTTTCTTCCTTAATTTATCTGGGAAGCATCGTTTCAACTACAGACGGGCGGAATGGATGAAGACGTCAAGGCCAATCAGCCAGAATCGGAAAGGCAAGATACGCACACCTTCATCAACTTGAAACCGGTTTGGAAATCTTCTGCACTCCACAGTATAAACAACAAGATTTGTATTCTGTTCAACACCAATGTCAAGTCCATCAGTTCTTCTATATGGATCAGAGATTTACACTGCGCGTAAGTCACGAAAAGGATTTCCAACAGCCTAGCTGCAGACTTTTATCAACAGCTGCCTTCTCTGGCGCCGTAGTGAACATCAAATGACCAACCAGAAAGGTTTAGCAACAAAAAACTCTGACTGACCGAAAAATATACCGTTGAAAATGGCGGTGGATCGGACACACGCTGAGGAGACCTTCGAATGACATCGCAATCAATGCAGGCAATGGCTTGAGTGGAACCTGTATGGAAGCGAATGTGCGTCACTTCAAAGGTGATATAGACGACATGACATACAATGGGCAATCATGAGGCTAGCTAAAGACGACATAATAAGATTAACAGCACTGGAGTTGAAATACCTTCTACTTTTGTTGTGAGACAGATATCTGCTAGACAAAATTGTAGACAACAATTTATGTCAGTGTTTACGTCCCGAATCGGGGTCATGAGAAAAAAAAACAATAACAAAGCCTAACTTTGAGGAACTCACAAACCAATCATAGCAGACTTAACGTGTGCGGATATGATTCGCAGATATATGGCTTAACTTTCTAAGAAACGGTCACAAACTGTACAGAATAACCTTCAGCAAGAAAACAACCAATCAGGAGAGGTTGCTTCTCCGCTGACACTAATGTTCATAAAAATCTACAAATATCTGTTGGTTTTCTCAATAAACGATCTGTTGTCTTGCTTTTTTCTTCTGTCGTTACATTTTCAGTGAAAGTCTTAGTGGAGAATGTAACGCAGAGAATTAACTACGAAATACGACAACTTTCTAGCGTTTATTGAATAAAAGAAAACAAACAATCAGTTTCTTCATTCAAGTTTTATTAACAGTTTCGTAAAATAATCACATTGTATATTTAAGGGAGGAGGAAATTTCAAAATCACATATATATTAATTGCATCATTATTATCTCACTTGTTCACCAAAAAAATAAATAACCTTTAAATCACATTACAAATAATAATAATAATGATAACAATAACCAACCGTTTTATTTAGCTTGAATACATTTCATATATGTATTATAGATGATTGTTGAGTTTATTCTCTAGTGGAAGCGGTATTAGTAGTAGTTGTTGTTGCCGGCGTAGTTAATTGTGAAGTCGTGGGAGTACTAGCCGTGGTATGGGTAATACTCACTGCTTCGTGTGATGTTGTTGCATTCTCTGTCTTGTTCATGCCTAATTTACTCAAATGAGTCACTTTCGATGATTGTAGATAATTGTTCGTCTTCTGATGTCCTTTAGTCGATGTAGTAGTAGCGTTATGCTGTTGTTGTTCTCCTTCCTTTGTTACCGTCTGTGGTCGTCTCTTTGGTAATTTCAGTAATTCACATACAAAATACTTCGCTTCCTTACAGTAATGTACACCCCATTTACCACTGGCATAGTCCACAGATAGACAGGCGATTTCATTTGGATGTAATTGACCAACTAAAGGGTTATGATGATGCAGAAAACGTATTGTCACCGGTGTTCGATCAGTCCAAGTTTGAATCAAGTGTCTATCTTGACCATTGAATTCATGCACGATTGATTTCACCAGTCCACCAATCCAAAATTGTCTTGCTTCAATGGATAATGCCCAACCCATTAATGTATGTATCATAGCTGGACTATGCAATGAAAGTAAATCACCGTGGAGTATGTGGTTAGTCGAGCTTGATCCAGTTCCACCGCTATAAGTACTCTTCTTCTTCATTGTATGACTTACTCCGTTAACTGTAGAAGTACTAGAATTAGTTGAAATTGGAGTTTTTTCTGTTGCAGTATGGGTAGTAGAAGTAGTACTGGTGGTAGCTTCAGGAGTTGTAACTGGAGCAGCGGTTGAAGTAGCGGGAGTCGTTGAAGGTGTAGGAACAGTTGTTGTTGTTGTTGTGGTTGTGGTGGTGATGGTGCTGGTTGTGGTAGTCGAAGTATCATCACTATTCGTCCCATTCACTGTGATCATACTGTCCAAATATGCCTTCAAACTGATCCCATTCTCTGTAGCATTTCTTGCCACTACTGGATTTAACAAATCTGGTATTTTAGGCAATAAACGACAGAAGTCAATAGCATCATAATGACTCAATCGAGCATCATTACCACCGTGTACATAGACAAGTGTTAAATATTGAGTGACATGTTTATGTGCAACTTTCCAACTATTTACAATTAGAAGATTACAAATTATTAAACTTATTATTGTACCATGTAACATATTGTGAGTTCAACAGTCACACAAAAAAACACGAGGAATGAAAATTTTCAGTTTTTCTTACAAGGCATATATATATAGTTGGTTAAAGAGTACATAAAAAGTCAATAAATAGATAAATAAATCAATAATAAAATGTCAATGAGTGTTACTTAATAATTGCATGATAACTATTTAGAAGCATGATGCACTTTAATGATCGATTATGGTGCTGTTTTATTCCGACTAAAACTTGTTTTCGCCATTTTTCTAAAAAAAAACACTGGCTGTATAGTGCAATAGTGCATTGCAGTAGAACAATTTCGTCATTAAACTGCACTCATATCTATATAAATTCAGAGAGAAAACAACTTTGACAAGGAAGCGATCAAAAATATTCAAAAATCTCTGAAAATAAATTTTATTATGCGTAGTATTATTAGTAGTGTGGTGAAAAAGCTGTCTGTAAGACAGAATTGTAGACAGCAATTTATGTGCCGAATAGTGGTCATGAGAAAAAAAGACAATAACAAAGCTTAATCCTGAGGAAATCAACAACCAAATCACAGCAGACTTAACGTGGGTGGATATGATTTGCAGATATATGGCTTAACTTTCTGAGAAACATTTAGTCACAAGTAGCGAGAAAACAACTATCCAGAAGACGTTGTTCATCCGCTGATAATAATGCTCATAAATATCTACAAATATCTTTTGATTCTCTCAATAAAGGGTCTGTTGCCTGACCCTTGTCTTCTGCCGTTACAATAGTAGTAGTAGTACAGGCAATAACTTAGATTGTTTCTGTGCGTGTGTAGTCATTTCAACTAATTTCAGTTTAAACTCTGTGAATCATTGAAAATCAAAGGCTGACTGACTGACTGGTTTCAACATAGAACAGCTTCGCAGAGATGTGCAGCAGTTCAACTGGTGACACTCTCCATGTAGCACTGAAAACAAGAGAAAAGAGTAAAGAGAGGTAATAAGCAGGAGTGTAAACGAGGAAAAAAGGATTGTAATGTAGAAGAACAATACAGGTTTGATTGGACACTAACGAGTGTAATGTGTCTAGTCCTTTTGTTTACTTTGGACTAAATTCTATCAGTGAAGTTTGCAATGCGGCTACCATGTCACTAGGTGATTCGCCATCTAAGTACACTCAAGATTATTGTTGTAAATGGATGGAGGCAATCGGCCACAGGAAGCCTCACCTGATCTAGGTTTTCTGCTAGTTAGCACTCACCAGTCAGTCAGCGAGGCGTATCTGCAACCTTGAATTAACTTATATCCCTTCTGAGATTTGAATCGTATCAACCGGGCCCCTTCAAGATTTTGAATACGCCTTGGTAACCTGTGAGTGCCTACTAGCACGAAATCTAGGTCAGGTGAGGCTTCCTACCGATTGTCTCCAACCATCTAAAACAATATAGTTTTATTGGATATGACAAATCACAAAGAGTGCATGCATCTACCCCAGCCATTACCGAGAACGATTTTGAGCCAAATCACAAATTGCCTCCAGCCGCCATCGGATTTTACCATCCCGAGGAACCCAGGACCCCCAAGGTAGTCTACACCTCCCTACGTGGCTGACTTAAACTAACTCTTATGGATTTCATTGACTGATGAAGTCATGTTTTGGTATGACTACCAATATCTCTTTCCCAACCTGATCCATCCTATGTCAGTCAGCTAACATTGCCAGTCGTCGAGTAAGGTGATGCCTAGTCAGTTATGAGTAATACATGTCCTAACCATCTCAGTTGATGTGACAGCCTCATCTATTGAATAACTTCCTCTCCTTAACTAGCACTCAAAGCCTAACCAACTCAATATTACTCACACTATTACACCTTCCACCTTGACAGCTTGACTTTTCATGTTTTCCATCTCAAATGGCCATTTCTCGCAACCATAAAAGAAGAGAGAGAGAACTGCTATTCACTTAGTACATGAAGGTTTCTATGGTCAAGAAATTTAATGTCTTCATATCTTTTATCTTGTGTGGCGATGTTCCACAGTTGTAAAGCAGAAGAAAGAAAACTTTTGCATCTTACACACATAATTTTAGGTGGCATTCTAAAACCATATGGCTTGGTGGAACAAAATCCCCTTCTAATGTGGTTGTGTTCTCTGAGATGTTGGTTTTTATCTTCTTTCTCTGTTGAGTCTTTTGGTTGACATATAATTGAGTGAAGTCACTTTGTTGGTTTGTGTACAACGTCATTGAAGCACTCCCACCTTATGGAAAACTGAAGATAAATATCTCATGGACGTCTTCCATAAGAATGGATATCCATGGAATTTCATCAAAAGACATATACCCCCAAGCCAACCTATTAAACCAAAAGCCCCAAAGTAAAGCACAAAAAAAATTGCCTTACCATATATAAAGGATATCTCAGAAATCACTACAATACCCTTCAAACCTTTAGGAATTAACGTCGTACACAAACCAACAAAGTCACTTCACTCAATTCTATGTCAACCTAATGACTCAACAGTGAAAGAAGATAAAACCAACATCATCTGCAAATTCAATTGCAACAAGTGCGAAAAACACTACATTGGCTAAAGTGGAAAACCTTCCCCTTCGTCTTCGTATCCACGATCATAAGCTAGCTGTCAAAAGACATGATATCCACTCCCTCATATAACTACATACAGACAACCACGGACATCAATTCGACTGGAACAACCAGCGTCCAAATATAAGACAGAGGAAACAACAAGAATGCTAGAGGATTTTTAGAAGCCTGTCGGGTATTTTAGTGAATCATCAATCAATAGACACATCGAGATATACAAAACTTATCAACCAATAAGAAAGAAACCTAACACACAAAGGGTCAAAGTTCAAGTCAAAGCAACTATCAGTTCCAATACAAGTAACCTATAAGGTGTGAAAACACAAAAACAACCAATCAAGTCCAACGTCACCAGGAGAGATGATTAATAAACTCGTAGAGAAATCTAAAAGCTAACTTCAAATTGAAGTATGCTCTGAAGATGTCGCCTAGTAGGGCGATGAAAGCTTCGCAAATTAACTATCCAGCTCAGAGAACAAAACCTCATCAAAATCATCCACTTGAGCTACAAATCTTTTCTATCATATCTAAAAATCCCCTCCATTCTGCAACTCATGCACACAAACAGTTTTTGATCTCACAACTGCTTCTCTATGAGGGTACCACATTTACAAAACAAGAATGACTCTATAAACATTTTAATTAAGGAAGGTTGGGTGCCATTATTAGCATATTACCAATTATAAAATGACAGACATTCATCGCTTAACTACCATGATTCTGGACTTTTAAGACTCTCTCTCTAACTGGAAGCATGTACCTGCATGTGTGAGCAGAGAATAAAAATCCGGTGACGTAACTTAACCTCAGTGGTTTTTTCACATGATGTCGACTAGTAACTACCAAAATGCAGATTATTTTGTAGCAGTAGGTTTCTACTAGAATTAATAGAAACAAAACACGTGTAGTTCAGCGAAGAGCCTCTTTTCGCCGGAGAATTTATTGACACTTAGCTGTACAATCGCAATTACATATTATTTCTGTATTAAGTTATTTAATGCACAAGAGCAGTTGATTAAGTGTATTATAGTTACGTAATAGGATGCTTGACCTAATGAGGGAGTTGTGACTAGAATGCACATAGAAATGAAGAGTTGCAAAGAAATTACAAGAGGTTATAAGAGGTTAGAAACGCAAGCACTCAGATATTATGTCAGTAGAAATCAATACGGTTGTTGCCATGATAGTGGAAGTGGTTGAATGATTATCTATTCTGTTGGGATACATAACTCTGGCTTTTTCAAACTAAATGTCTAAGCCTTCAGCAATACAAAGAAGACGAAAGCATATTGCTTTTGGTGGGTTATTCTTCAATTTGTATATCTTTTTGAAGGAGTCGCCTGTTGAAATGGAACGGTTAGTGTTGGTTGACAAAATGTTCGATTATTTCAATTCATTTATAGAGGGACTACTACCTTTCTGCAGACATGAGGGATAGTTTTCCTGAACTCTTTTGGATAGAATACGCGTGTAACGATCGATGTACTACCTGGCACTGCAGCAACAGGTGAACTGATATATACACATGTGTGTATTTTTATTCTTGTCTGACAAACCTAATGTACACACAAATCGAAAAATAGTTATATATAATGGCGATTGTACAACTAATATTATTATTGTTTCCTTTAGTTCCTAGAGGAACAGAGGGATTCAGCCGCACGTCTCCATTACGTTTGGTTCTCCACCAACGTTTTCACCTAACTCCACGTCTGCCCACATGCTTTCATCTCCTTTTCGCATCACCTCTGTGTCACACTCGGATGACCAAGTCGCTACTTCCCATTCGGGTTCGACTTGAGAGAGCCTGGCGTGTGATGTCACTCATTTGATAGTTTGGTTTCTCAGAGTATGGTCAGTCCACCTCCATTTCTACCTGCATATTTGTCGCACAGTTGGTTCCTGATGCGTTGACTTACTCCCAGAGATCCCTATTGCTGATCTCTTCTGGCTGACCATCTGATCTTGAGTACTGAACGAAGAAAACTGTTAATGTAGGTCTACAGTTTGTTTGAAATGCTCTTTATGACGCGCAGTGCAAGTCTCTGATCCGTATAGTAGCACTGACTTCACATTGAATTTGAAGGTCCGGATATTATTTTTGATGTTGAGTGCTGTTGACCTCCACACAGACTTCAGAGTAGTGAAAGCTTGTCTTAATTTTCCGATTCTGGCTTTGATATCCTCGTCAGTTCCGTCTGCCTGTATTTGAAACGATGCTTCCCAGATAAGTAGTTAGGTAGGTAAACGAGGTTGCTTCTTTCAGATTTCTCCCATTTATGTTGGCTGATTGTTGTCTGTTGTTGCCGTTGTTGCTACTGCTATCGGTCAGGAATCTTCATCACCTACCTCTGTTTCCTCTATGTTCACCTAAAGTCCTAACTTCACTGCCAACTTGTTGCTTTCCACATACATATCTTCCAGTTTGTGGGAAGT